GCAACACGGACATCTTTCACGAGATCGGAGCCATCGAAGCGCTCAAAACTGTGGCCAGCTGCCCGAATGCGATTGCCTCAAAGTTTGCGGCGCAGGCGCTGCGTCTGATCGGTGAGACGGTGCCGCATAAGCTGTCCCAGCAGGTGCCGCTCTGGTCTGTCGAGGATGTGCAGGAGTGGGTCAAGCAGATTGGCTTTCACAGCTATTTGCGCCAGTTCGAGGAGTCCCAGGTGGATGGCGATCTGCTGCTCAAGCTGAACCAGGAGAATCTGCGCGATGATATTGGCATTGCCAACGGCATTCTCCTCAAGCGCTTCGAGCGCGAATTGCAAAATCTCAAACGGATGGCCGACTACTCGTCCAAGGATACGGCCCGAATGCATCAGTTTCTGGCCGAGATCGGCACCGACTACTGCACCTACACATATGCGATGCTTAATGCTGGCATCGACAAGTGCACCCTGCCCCATGTCAACGAGGATATGCTGATGACAGAGTGCGGCATCAAGAATGCGATACACCGTTTGCGGATTCTCAATTCGGTCAAGAATCTGGAGAACTCGCTGCCCAGCTCATCCGAGGAGAACATGGCCAAGACGCTGGATGTGTTCGTCAGCTACAGGCGCTCCAATGGCTCCCAGCTGGCCAGTTTGCTAAAGGTGGGTGTTAACTTGCAGACTATTCGACCTATGCTCCAGCTCCTGCTGCTCCCCATTCCGTTCCAGGTTCATCTTCAGCTGCGCGGCTTCTCAGTGTTCATTGACGTGGAGCGCCTGGAGGCGGGCAAATTTGATAACGGCCTACTGAACAGTATTCGTCAGGCAAAGAACTTTGTCTTAGTATTAACACCGGAGGCACTGCATCGCTGCATCAACGATGAGGAGTGCAAGGATTGGGTGCATCGCGTAAGTTCAAATAAACACAAAATGAATCTATCAACTTCAAGTGGCTTACGGAGTGATTCTAAAATTTAATAGGAAATTGTGGCCGCCCTGAACTCCAATTGCAACATAATTCCCATTATGGATCAGCAGTTCACGTGGCCGGAGAACCTGCCCGAGGACATGTGCAGTGTGGCGCACTTTAACGGCGTCAGCTGGATACACGACTATCAGGATGCGTGCATCGATAAGCTCGAAAGGTATATTAACGGCGCATTTAGGACTAAATGGATGATGACCAGATAGTGCTTAAATCTCTAGCTAGTTAATCAATTAATTTAAACAATTATCTAATACGCAAACTCAATCTCAATACATTCCCAACCTTAATTTCCCCCTCTTCCGATGCGGCAGATTTTTGCGCGGCGAAAAGAATATCGATCGCATTGCGGCGATGGCGCCTGGTACTCCCGGCGTGGTGTCATACCAAAGAATGCACAGCAATGATTCCGACTATCAGCAGAGTGGTGGCAATGGCGGAGGTGGAGTCGGAGTTGGTGGCGGCGGCGGCGGTGGCGCGGGCGCGGGCAGTGTGGTGGATGGCCTAATGACGGCCAATGGCAGCGGACAAGGTGGGCCAACGAGTACAACTACTACAACCAATCAGAATCAGAATCCCAATTCGAGTTCCAATTCGAATTCGAATGCGAATCAAACCCAGCTACAGCGTAGACTAGGCCATCGCGAGCACTTAGGCTAGCCTCGAATATCCCCAGCTATGATTAAGCACACACACACACGCACACACACAGAAAAAACAAAAACACACACACACAAAAAGAAATTCTCAATCCTCAACAAAGTCAACCTCAAGATCAACTCGTTAAGCGAAGAACTGTTATACTAGCAGAAAACTGCTAAGTCATGGCAGCTTCTATATCTCTCTCTCTTTAGTACACACACACACACAGACACAAACACGCACAATTACCCTCTCACTCACACTCGTTCACACACATACCACATCTCTCTCTCTCTTTCTCTCTCTACTTTACTCTACTCTAAAAAAGAAAAACAAACCAACTTAATTAATAATTAATTTAATTTTGATTGCAAACTCGAAACTCGATAATTCACGAGCAGCTAATCACCAGGCAAATAGATACCGGCAATCCCCTTCACCGGCCCGCCAGCGCGGCAGCACCTCCCTCTTGACATATGGGCGTGGCCAGGCGAAACGGTCCAACATACTCCCACCCTACCGCACACAGCAGGCGGCGCTGCTCCACAAATCCAGCGCCGGATCAGCGTCCATGCAAAATATGACGCCGCTGGCATATTTGCCGCCGCGTCGCAGCTCCGCTGCCGGCCTGGGTCACAATGCCAGCGTGGCCAATGGCTATCGCTCGCACAGCGTGGACGGCCTGCTGGATCAGGCGGCGGCGGCGGCCGGCAGTCAGGATAGCTTGAGCACGCCGGAGCAGCGCATTGCGGCAGCGGCAGCTATGGTCGCCGCTGGCAGCACGGCGCTGACCAATGCCAGCTCCACGAGCACGCTGCAGCCAGAGGAGGATGATGAGACGGAGGAGGCGGATGCGACGGCGTCAGCCGCGGATATGTGCCATGTGACGCGTCGCGAGAAACAGACTCTGGCGCCGCCGAATGTGCAGCAGCATCGCAAATCGCGCAGCCTGGACCACATCTTGTCCAAGCAAACGCTGGCCGAGCTGCTGCCGCCCAGCGAGCCGGCCGACGAGACGCAGAGCATGCAGAATCTGGCCTTGCCACTGACGCCGCAGCCGCAGCGACGCGATACGAGCTCCTCGTCAAAATCGCCGACGCCGGAGCGACCGACGCTGCCGCAGCGTGGTGGCTTCTATAATCGCCAGAGTCCCGACGGCGTCAGCTCCACGGAGAGCGAGCGCGAGGATGCGCAGTCCGTGAAATCGCAAACGCAATCGCAAACGCAATCGCAATCGCAGCATGGCAATCAGCAGCGGGCGGCGGCGCATGTGCATCGTGGTGGCAGCCAGAACAGCAATAAGACGTCCAACTCATCGCTGGGATCGAACAATAGCGCCAACAATAAGACGATATTTAATCGTACGATGAAAAAAGTGCGCTCTCTGATCAAAAAGTAAGCAACATGCAACTGAGAAAGGCGACAAATGCGTTCGTCAAATCATTTGATCGCTACTTCTACTAGTTACTCGCTACTTCCATTCGTTACTTCCTAATATTGCACACACTTACTTTCAACTGACTCATCTTGTTTGAATAACGTCTTTCACTCACTTAGTGCCTTACGTTTACTCGCTACTCGCTACTCGCTGCTCGTTACATTTGTGCCATTTAAAACGAATCTCATGCATCAACATTAATCACTCACACAAACCATTCCCTGGGCCACACTCCCCCTCGCTCTCTTTCTCTCTCTCTCTCTCTCTCTGTATTCCACTGTGTGTCTCTCTCTCCTCTCTCTCTATCTATCTCTTTATGTGGTTATGGTATTCGCTCGCTATCTCAACTTATCTCTCGTAGCTCGTTGTTTCAACTCGTCAAGCTAAGCATCCACTAAAACTTGCCTGCGTTGCCCGAAACAACTTCTTGAACGCCCCCTCTTACAGTCCAAAGCCAATATCTATTTGCCTTGTGATTAGTTGTTTTTTTTTTCTATATATATGCAAACAAAAAAAAAAAAACGAATTTAAATTGCAAAACTAATTTATGAATTATTATTAACGACTGCATATAAAGAATACATAATTTATGAAACTAATTTTAAACACAAAAGAAACAAAAAATACATAAAAACTCTATTAATTTTAGTCTACGATTAATATTTATTATCAAAAATTGTACATTTTCTTTTCAAATGCAATTTTTTTTCTTGTAACCGTCCGCAAAATCAAACAAAACAAAAAAAAAAAACACCTTCACAACAACACAAAAAGTGGCTTCAAACGAAAATGTTTAAGTGATATTTAAAAATATACAAAAAATAATCGAAACATATTTAAAGTAACAAAACAAAAAACAACAAGAAGAAGAAAAACCACCCAGAAACTATGCTGTACAATATTTTAATTTTAGCAAAAGAGACTTAAGGCATAATTTTATTGATTTTTGCAATATATATATATATATAAATATAATGATTAAATAGTGCCTAAAATTGGACTAGATTTAAATAAAATGTGAATTATTCAAATCAATTGTGTATTATTGCCCCAAAAGGTCATGACCCCGCTTTATCAGCCATTCCTATCATTCGCATGTTCATTTTACGTACTTTATGTTTGTGTTTATTATTTTTATTATTTTGTATATTTATGTTTTAAATGTTTTGTTTCCGTCTAATATTCGTTTATTTAATGTTCTTTTTTTTGTGTGTTGATTGTGAATAATGCAATGCTAATTAAATTCTACCTTAATTGGAACCATCTACTTTTTTTTCGATATTTCTTTTTCTCTTTCTCTTCAAATTTTATTTGTAGACCATAAATGCGCATTTTTGTACTTGTTGTTATTGTTGTGCCTGTGCCTGTGCCAGCACCTGCCCCCGCACATACCCGAATCGAATTCAAGAACCTACTCATCACTCCACATCCCGAAATCATCCCGAGTCAACATATCACAGGGTGATCCGTCGTCCAGCTGTTTCAACAACAACAACAACAACAACAACAAAACAAACATTCATTGTTATTTATTACAAAACTAAAACAAAAACCACAAAAAAAAAAACGCGAATAAAATAATCAATAAATGTGTGTACTACACAAAACAGACTAATTAAATGTTTCTTCCAATTTAAACTAATTCCCGCATATCAAATAATTATAGTAATGAACTGGAGGACGATGAACTCTCGGAAATTATCCTGTCCAAGGCAACGTCCCCAAATGCTGGCCGCATGATATTTTGGTAGGCGCAAACAAACACTCATACGAATTTTTACAACTTGTACATAATACTTGTAGAAAAAACAAACACGAATTAAAAATACTCTACGAAAATTGATACGGAATTCTTCAAACTTCTTTTACACTGAGAAACGCAGTAGGTTGTGCATTTCGGTTGCCTGTCAGAGAGCTGAGCAGTCGCTTGTAAGGAGTTTTAGTCGGAAATAATTTTCGTTACGTTAAGGTACATTTTTTGTGAAAATAAGAAATTTGATTTTATAATTTTTGTATAAGTTATACAAAAGTTGCATATCGTAATGCGCAAGACATTTGAAACGAATGCCATGCTGGTCGTGGATCCTGCTGATGAACTAGTTCTCGAAGGACCATTCAACCGTGCCGTTTGCAAAAAAATTTTGGTATTTAATCCAAACAAACTGAGTCGCGTTTCATTCAAATTGAAGACGACCACACCACGTCTATTCTTCGTGCGCCCCAATGTGGGCCTGGTCAAGCCGGAGGAGCGGGTCGCTATTGACATATTTGTCCATCCGATCTTTCCGGATACCAATGTGCAGCGCCATAAGTTTTTGATGCAGGCCGCCGAGTGTAATGAGCCCGTGACTGATTTGCACGAGTTCTGGCGGAATGTACAGCCGTCCAGAATCTGGGATACCAAAATCAAGGTCAAATTAATCGATGTTAAGGAAGGAGTACAAAATGTCAGCGAGCTTGCAGCGGATATAGGTAATGCCTTCGGGGAGCATCAGGAGAAGGATGGCCATGATCCAATGGCAAAACTTCTACAACAAGTAAACGAGCTGGAAGAGGAGCGTCAACATTTGGTGCAGAAGGTCGAGACGATCACCAAGCAAAACGAGGAGGAGAAAACAATGTGCAAGGATCTACGGCAGAATCGAGGAAGCTGCTTCTTTTTTTTCTTGGCTACTTTTTTTGTGTTGATAGCTGCTATTGCCGGCGGCTATGTTGGAAAGAATTTCATGTAAACGTCTCACATTAAAGCATAAGGATTAAATACAAAATGTTTAAGCTACTATTGGCAAATGGAAAACAATTCAAACGGCCAATTAAATTGCGCCAATTGTTAACGTGTGTACACACTGCCAGCTGGACAACACTGACCGCATAGCGTTGCCACATCTCCAAATTGAGCAGAGCTGTGGCAACACCTTTGTTTACGTGCACCTTAGCAACGAGCGCTTGGTACGCTTCATTTCATATTTAAATGTGTTATTTGTGAACTCGAAAATAATTTAGCTGATGATTAGCCATGTTTGAGTAATGAGTGATACCGATACGGACGACACCGATCTGTTGTTGCTGATACCGCCCAATTACTATACGGACACTGCAGAGCGCTTGTTGCGGGAGGCCAAAATGAGCGCAGCCGCAGCAGATGCAGCTGCAGCTGCAGATGCACTTGCCATGCCGCCGCCACCGTTGCCAGCGTCGACAACAGCTGCGTATCAGTTTCTGTTGCCCAGCAAAAAGTCGGAACTGAATCAAATTAATGCGAGACTGCAAAACATGGAGCTGGAGCGGGAGAATGAGCAGATGAGATTTGATGCACCCTCGGATATATCGACAATTTCGTCGAGTACAGTGCGCACAGCGTTAGGCAGCAGGCCGCAGCGTGAGCAGCACGGCATGGTGCACTCGACGCCCAAGAGTGGCTCAGTGGAACCGCCACGCGGTCGTCGCAATGAGGATAATATACTGCTGGAAATCGATAATTATCTGGATGACCACAATGCCTGGCAGCAGCAGCAGCAGCATCAACACCACAGCGATGACCATTTGCGCTTGCGCGGTTACTCGGCGCAGGCGCAGGACTCACAGCCAACTGCTAATTCATTGCCAAGCATTCGGCTGGGTGCATCGGCATCCATTGCCAATGACAAGCTCATCAGCCTCAGCGAGCTGTGGGGTAAAAGCAATCTGGCAGGCACTGTCATAGCCAACAACGTGTCGGCGCTGCAGGGCAGCCCTTCACTGAAGGAGGAGCAGCTGCGGCGGCACCATTTGGAGAAAATGGTACAAACACTGCAGACACAGTTGCTGGAGTATCAACAACGCATATCGGTTGCCATTGAGGTGGATCGTTCAAAGGACACAGCCTTGCAGCAGGCAGACCAACAGCTTCAGACGCTTAACCTTGAGGTGCAACACCTGCGGGACACGCTGCACAGACTGGAAACAGAGCGTAACGACAATCATAGCCGATGCGATGCACTGCAGCATGAGCTCTCGCAGGCGGTGGGCTTGGCCACCAAGTTTCAGGAGAAGACCGAGAAATTGGAGGCAGAACTGGAGCGTTGCAGGCGCCAGGCAAGTGATACAGTACAGAAACTCGAGCAGCTGGAGCTGCAGTTGCAGAGCAGCAAACGGGCTGAGGAGCTGTCGCACGCCGAGCTGAACAAGCTGCGAGACAAGTTCGCCAAGGTGGACTATCAACAGGAGAAGGTATAGTCGATTCTTGTACTCTTTTTGTGTCTCTAATAAGATTTTTTATTCCAACAGCTGAAGATGCGCGTAGAGGAACTGGAAAAGGACAACTCGACGCTGCAACATCAGAAGGAAATGCTGCAAGAATATCATCAGAAGCAAAAGACGCGCGCAGATAATCTCGAGTCGCAGCGCAAATCCTTGCAGGAGACGCTGGCCAATCTGACCGACATTGAGGTATCCCCCAAGCGACTAAGTCTGTGTAATTAATTTTTTGAAACAAATGGTTTCTTTTCCAGACGCATCTCAAGAAAAAACTGGAGGTGCAGCAGAAATCACTGAAGCAACACTATCAGCAGCAAATGGAAAATGTTGTTGCCAAAAAACTGCAAGAGTTCCAAACGCAGCTAGACAAGTCGGAGGAGCACCTAAAGGCTGAGGCACGCGAGCGTGAACGCCTGATAGCCGATCGTGCGGTCAAACAGCTGGAGATGATCAACGAAAAGAACAACCAGGAGCTGAATCTCACACAGGAGAAGCACAACGAGGAAGTGGAACTCTACCGCCTGCAGCTGGCAAATGCATCTAAAAAAATAGACGAGCTGGAACTCAAGCTCAGCACCTACAAGACGAAGCGGTAAAGCGGATTTTATAATATATCTGAGATACACATATTTATGTTAATGTTTTAGTGCGGACATTGCGGAGAAGCTGCATGGCGTGATGGAGGCACAATGGCAGCAGGCGCTGGCCATACTTACCTCGCCCAATCACACATTTCAGCTGCCCGGCGGTGAAACGGACAGCGAATCGCCAGATCTGAACAATGCCCGTCACTATCCAGATACACCCAAATCGAGCAAGACTCAGCGCAGCAATAATACCGAAAAGAACAACTTGGACGCGGTGGCCAAAAAAGATCCACCATCGCCCATGGACAAGCTGCAGGCATACATTGAGCTGCTGCTGAGCAAATCTCCAAGTGATTTCGATAAGCTCGATGAGATTCTGGGCATGAACGCCAGACAGAATGCCAAGCAACAGAAGCGTAACGCCAGCAGCGGCTCCAAGCCACCGCCCTGGAAGTCCTGACATAGAACCGATGGTAACTATATCAATTAGTCACATAGTCTGAATTTATATGTAGCCACATGGTTGGTGGCTTCTATTTTTGTACACCCCTTTACTTAGAAGTTGTAAAAGTAAATTGTTTAATTTTTGAAAAAATTTTATTGCTTATTGATAATATCAACAATTGAAGGCAGCGCTGCGCAAATAATATTCAAAATGGACAAACTATGTGGCATAGTTTGTCTTGATATATAATGATGCCATAAGAAAAAACAAATAGGATAAATTATAAAAGTTGTTTGGTAGAAAAATGTATTTGAACAGCTTTATGAACCTATGGCTATAAAACTAATATGTGTAGATATACTTGATCGAGCCCAGTCCTTAGTTGCATATAGATATCCATGTGACTTAAGCCCAATTTGATTTTGATTCATCAGCTACTCTGTTTTATGTGTCTGTCATTGATATGCTTTCAGTTGAGTTGTCATTGAGTATGTCCCTTCATTTATAAACAATTTGCGGAAATTTGGGCGCATTGCCGTACAGGCCCTCCGATTCCCAGACCTGTATATGGGAATCCCGCGTTAGTACCACCAAATGCTGGTGCGTGGAGTAACTGATGCTGCAAGCAAGAAGCTTATTATAATCCATTTTTGAGTTAAGGTAGCAATTTGACTTACCTGCGTATGGGCGATGTGCCGGTGGTTAGTTCACTGACAAAACTCAAATTCCAACTGGACCAGAAACGCACAAAGCCGCCCTCCACTGCGGTGGCTATGACGTTGACGCCAACGCCCTCTTTGATGTAGGAGTAGCATACAGCTTGGATGCGATCCTCGTGCACCAGATGCTGCACATAGCGCGCATTGACCGAGTGCAGACGCAGTATGGACTTGCCATTGGGATTGATATTGACATTGACAAAATCATCCAGACTTTCCTCAGTTACCTCGAAGCATTCATCCGCTGAGCTCGGCTTGGCAGGCGCTGCAGCTGGCGACTGCACCGCATTGGCGTTTATCGGCTGTTGAGGCAGCGTGTGCACGGTGACTATGTCGCCCAGTGTGGGACTGATGGCCACGTGCGTGATGGGCGATTGGTGAATTTCCGCGGGACGTGCAATAGTGCGCACATAGCTCCAGCTGAATTCAAGCGATTAGTAAGTGAATTCGTTAAGCTTGCGGGCAACTTACTCATTAAGATCCCAAATGACGGCAATGCCATCGCGTCCGGCTGTCACCGCAATCTTAAACTCCACGGACAGCGCAATGCATGTGATCTCATCCGTGTGCCGCACCAGCAACGTTGGACCCAACCAGCTCAGATCAGCGCCATCGCGCTGCTGCGCATCGCCGTTAGAGGAACCAGCTGAGGAGGCGACCGATGTGGACGAGTGTGTGGCATGCAGATTGCCCGAATCATCGGTTGATTCGTTGCCCGCTCCTGAGCCCGTGCTCTTGGTCGTCATCTTCCGAAATGCTGAATTGTAGGAAAGCCGTAGGCCACGCACATAGCTTTGTCGGCTCTTGGTGCTCGCGCGCTGTTGTGCCTCTACGCCGCTGGTGCACTTGTAGACACTAATGCGCCCGGATTTGTGCCCAAACCAGAGCTGATTGCAGTTCACATCACAGCCGCAGGCGGTGATGTCATCAAAGCTGCCGTTGTGCAGCAGATTCTTGGGCTTGGCCTGCGGTTTGTTCAGCGGCTGGATGCGCACAATTCGATCATCGTATCCCCAGGAAATCACATTATAGGTGTCCGGCTCGGCGCCCTGCATGACGCCAGCGCGTGCCGGCAGCGCATAGACCACATTCGTGTTACTGAAGCTAACGAGATGCTCGGTGCCCGGTATTTTGTGTATGTTGGCCCAGGATGGCGCCTTCAGCTGCGGCGAGCCCACATAGACGCCCCAGCGCAGACCTTTCACACTGGCCACAATGGGCGTGTCCACCAAAGCATAGTCCAGCGCCTTAGTGGGTGGATGTGGCGACCTGAACAGCTGCCGTGGCATTTGGCCGTAGGTCTTAACCATAGTCTTTACCGCCTCGCGTTCAATGGGATCGCTAATCTCCGAGTCAAGGAAAACTGCATAGGTCTGAAAAAAGCCAGTCATAACAGTGGAACATTTTGTATTCAGAATATTCACAACTTACCGCTGGATGAAACACATTGATGGCCTCAACGGCGCTCTCGCCAGTTTGCTTGTAGCCGAATATCAGATCGATCCAGTGATGCAGCTCGCTGCGCACCAGCTCCGATTCCAGCGCCTGTCGATGTATGAGCACAAAGAGTCGCGAATCACGCTGAGACCAGGCAGGCAGCGTAACATCTTCGACCCTTTCGCCATTCTGACGGCAGCCGAAATTGAAGCGTTCAAAATTCTCAAACATTTCAGGCAAGCAATAGAACTCAGGTATGAGCTCCTTAACATCCGTGGGACTGTCCCGGCTGGCCAGGCAATAGGTGGTGTTCAGAGCATGAAATGTGCGATCCGGCAGATCAA